CCACGATGACATGACGGTGAGGCCGGTAGCTCCAGTTTAGCTCCACCGGCACCACAGACAGACCCCGCTCTACTTGCTATACTTGAGTGGATGAGTAGGATCAGGCTCGCCAGGCCCAGGAGACCACAGCTACATTTGCATAGTTTCAGGCCAGACAGGACAAGTTTCAGCGACAGCAGCAGGCTATACAGCAACAGTAGCAGGCCATGCAGCAGCAGTAGCAGGCCATGCAGCAGCAGTAGCTCCTTATGCAGCAATAGTTACTTGGATTTATGCAGCATGTAGTTACTGCTATTGGGGCTCCACCGTCATAGCCTTCACCTCAGCTTGGTCAGCCTGCCACCACTTCTATGACTCTAGCTTTCCAGCCCAGTGGGCTTCAGAGTTAGGGACAGCCAGCTACCTTGTTTCCTTCACCTATAGAGCAGGTGTCCTAGTGGTTTGCTTCGCCAGTGCCAGCCCCATAGTTCACAATTCTACAGATAGGTTTCACTCCGCCTCAGAGTTACTCAGTGCTCACCCCAGTTTCTAGGAGCCTTGGTGTGACATTTAGTGAGTTGATAGGGCAGCCTACTCAGCTAGATCTATATGTCCCTGGTCCTTCCATAGTTGCTCCTATTACTAGGACTACAGAGATGCTCCCTTCATCAGTTACATCATCAGAGCCGCCTGCTTCAGTGATACCTGTAGAGTCACAGGCCACACCAGTCCCCGCTCTGACCCAGACCGCTTCAGCATCGCTTCCAGCCACAGAGGGTCAGACTGCATAGAGCTCAGGATCAGATGATCATGGCACACAGTTCCAGATCGCTCATCACGCCTCAGCGTCCGACTCATCCGCTGCAGCCCCGCTGATCGACCCTTAGGTTTTGGTGTTTGACGCCAAAGGGGGAGAGGGATCGAGTATGATAGACTTAGGGGGAGCAATACATTTAGGGGGAGCTTATCTATTATATTTGGCTTTTTATGCCTGATACATTTTTATGCATTCATGTTTACTATTATGCATTGAACTACAAAAGTGTGATCGTAATTGTGATATTAATGTGATCGTGGTATTTATGTGATATGTGACATGTGTGCTCTCTACTTGAATTATTTATATGTCATGTCACTTGGTAATGCTCATTTGCTTTGCTTCCACGTTTTACTCCGATGCAAATGAGCTTTATTACTTGTACTCATGCTTATCTCATATCTATTGAGTACATCATGTTGGCTTGGGTCATATAAGCTTGCCTAACTCTTTTGTTCTTATTGTCAAAAGCTTATATGAACCAAGCATGTTGAAAACCTCATCTCTTTTACATACTCGAGGTGGTATTGTCATCAATCACCAAAAAGGGAGAGATTGAAAGCATCTAGGCCCCTAGTTGGGTTTTGGTGATTAATGACAATACGAGATTACTGTGACTAACGTGTGTTTTGCAGATGCAATTAAGTTAGGTCATGGTAATGGCAATTGATTGGGCAATCATGGTTGTCATGCCCCTACGATGGAAATCGTTTCGGTTTTCAAAGGATGGACGACAAGGTTAAGGATGGACTAGTTCTAAGTGTCGTTTGGTGTTGAGGAGACACTTAGAGTAGTTTAGGACTTTGTTTTTCCTTTGGCCGTACTATTAAGGGGAGTATGGACGGGTAGCTTGACCTAGGTGAGTCTAGTGGGTGAGGTGTGGTGCACACTTGTCAAATCTAGCACTAGGTAGCTCCTAAATAGCCCTTAGATCAATTGGAGCAAACTTCATTCACATATGATTGCGAGTTGAAAGTGAATGGAGGGTCAAATGTTGACCGGACGCTGGTTCCGGTGTGATCGAACGCTGGCGCAGAGTCCGATTAGTTCATTTGATCAAGGTGAAGTCGTGTGGATACGACCGGACGCTGAGTGAAATGTGACCGGACGCTGGGTGCCAGAGTCCGGTCAACTCCAGTAAGGTTCTAGAGAGGGAGAATCCTGATCGGACGCGTCCGGTCAGTGCTGATCGGATGCGTTCGGTCAGTGCTGATCGGACGCTGGTCAGGTTCCGACTACTGACCGGACGCTAGGTTCCAGAGTCCGGTCAACATCAGTAAGGTTTCAGAAGGCAGTTTTCGTGACCGGACGCGTCCGGTCAGTGCTAACCGGACGCTAATCAGTGTCCAGTCACAACTTAACTGCTCGGTGGCGGGGAGAACTGACCAGAGCATCCGGTCACCTTGACCGGAGCGTCCGGTCACCCTGCAGTAGCACATAACGGTTCGTTTTGAATGAGGATGTATAAATACTTCCTCTATTGACTTGAGGGATCACTTTTGCTCGTTCCAACAGTTGAGAAACACCCTTGAGAGTGCCAAGAAGAGTAAGGTACTAGTGAGGTGATTGAGATTTTAGAATCCAAGAGAGAGGCCTCATTAGTGAAAGCAAGAGTAGCAAAGTGTGCATCCACCCTTCTCATTAGGCTTGTCGTGGTCAAGTGAGAGTTCATGCTTGTTACTCTTGGCTATCGCCATCACCTAGACGGCTTGGTGGTGATTGGGAGCTTGGTGATCATCCAACAGAGCTTGTGGATGACCCAACTTAAGTTGTGAGCGGTTGTGGGTGATTCACCGCGATGGAGTGTCGAAGAATCAACCCGTAGAGAGCACTTGATCCTTGTGCGGATCAAGGGGAGCTACACCCTTGCGCGGGTGCTCCAACGAGGATTAGTGGGGAGTGGCGACTCTCCGATACCTCGGCAAAACATCGCCGCGTTCTTCCTTCTCTATTTACTTTAAGCATTTACTTTGAGCAATTCAATTCTTGTCTTTATATTCATAGAATTGCCATGCTAGAGTAGGATTGGAACATAGGTTGCTAAACTTTTGCGCGGTAGAACAATAGAAACACATTCTAGGCACAAGGGGTGAAGTGGGCTAACCGTAGGGTTTAATTATTGCAAAGAATTTTAGAATTAGCCCAATTCACCCCCCTCATGGGCATCTTGATCCTTTCAGCTTGGATGGTAATTGGTGATTACCGAGCCAAACACACCCAAAGCTGACACGGTTGTGATTACAAAAGAACTACTTAGCGATAGTAATGAGGAACAAGCACGGCAGCAAACACCAAAGCAGGCCCTGAATCAAGCAGCTAAAGATTGTGTAGTAGAAGCATGGGCATGGGTCATAGGTGGCACACATTTTACCAGCACTGTGTTTTGTCATTTGAGTTGGAGTCAACTATTTTTCTTTCTTTATAAAGAGGACCGGTCCAGCGTGTTAAACATTTTGTTATTTTTTGCTTACGCTTATGACTCTTTTGTGTGATCTTTTAAGATTATAATATGAAGAGATATTTAGACTTTTATAAGTGTTGCCTTTTATGGTAGCGCATTTGTTAGATGCGGAGTACTACAATATCCCTTGGAAGAACGATGATGAATCTACCTATTGAAGTCTAATCTCCATCCTTCAAACCATCATGCCTTGATGATAGGATCCCTAAACCCTAAACCCACGTGTATCCCATGTGAAACACCTCGATCTACTTTTGAAATATTCAGATGCAACCCTTGCAACATATGTCTGAAGGTAGATGAAACACTTGAAACATGTTTCTGAAATACTTGTAAAAACACCTGAAAACACTTGAAAACCATTGCAAACATACGCAACATTCAGATAAAACACTTACAACATGTGCACCATCTAGATAAACACACTTGCAACATACACCTAACAAACTGATGAAACATTGGGGATAGATGCTTGCAACATACATGTACAACCATTGCAACATATGCAACATCTCGATCTACTTTTGCAACATCCATATGAAACACTTGCAACATACCTCTAAGACATGTAAAATATTTGAAAAACGCTTGCAACATGCATCGTATCCCGGTATGGCCTCCGCCGTCGTCTGCATAAGGGCGCCACAGCCGTAGTAGGAGGTGAGGCCGGAGGGCTTCCGCGCCAACGCCCGACGCTTCTCATTGCGCCGGCACCGCCTATCGGTGTCATCGGGCTCGAGCACGCGCGCGGCGACCTTGGGTGGCTAGCTCGTGACCAAGGAAGCGGTCCCTACGAGCGGGCGCGGTAGTACCCGCGCCGTCAGACGGGGCGGACGGCGGAGCAAGAGCAGCGGCAAAGGGAGGTCCGGTGGAGAGGAAGGATGGCGCCAGGCCATGCGGCCTGGCGCGCCGCAGCGGTCGCCGTGGACCACACCGGAATCTGCGGCGGCGCGGGCAAGTGGAGGTCGTGTCTCTGGAGTGGAGATTGCGTCTAGGCGAGTGGATTTTTTTTATAAACTTCTGGAGTGGAGTTGTTGAGGGCAAGACGCAGTGGGCCGTTTGGGCTGTCGCGACCCATGACAACGCGAGCGTCCTAAGCAAAGCATTTACTTTCCAACATTGTTTTTTTTTCATAGAGTTTTTTATAATAATATGAAAATATCACTCCTTGACATGGCAGACTCATGCCTGCTATGTTAACATTGGCTCTACTGCTCTCATGCCTACTAATTTAACGCATTCAAAATTCATCAAAGTATACGATGATATCGAAATATTTGTTTAAGATACACGTTCGGTGACCCTCCTAAACACTGAAACACCTTCGCAAACTTATTGCACCACTAGGCACTAGCAATGGGTCATCAAAAGTTTTTGCATTCTATATTTGCATGGACTTCAAAACCTCAAAGCTGTAGAGTAAAAAAGCAAAAGTTTTCAGGGACTACTATCAATTCCATGTGTCTAGTCGAGTTTGGTTGTACAAAAGCAGGAGATACTTTTTTTTCACGAATGTGCTTGGCACTTATTCATTAAGATGACAAGCAGGAGATACTTGCGCGCGTAATTCTATCAATCCACGGACTTAACTTTGTTTGGATGCGATTTTTTTTCTGACACCAACGAACACAGGCACCACACCACACCATGGTTCTTAAATTCTACTACTACATTTCTATTCGACTCGAGGGAGAGGCGAAGGAAGAGCCGCGGTACGTTAAGGTCTGGCCTCCGATATGATGATCAGGCTGCAGAAGCAGGTCCTGGACCGGCCGGCAGACGGATGTTGATGTGCTTGGTGTCGTCGCTGCGAGCCAGCGAGAAGGTGGCGTCGGCAGTGCGGTTGAGGTAGGTGACGGAGAGCCTGTACTCGCCGAGGAAGGCGCTGAAGTTGAAGGAGCCGCGGTCATTGGTGGCGCCTAGCACCTCCTTGGTTTGCCACTCCCCCAGCAGCCTGTCGACGACGTCTCCGGCGGGGAGGTTGGTGAAGTTGGCGTCCGTGAGGCACATCTGGTAGCAGCTGGCGTTGGCGCCCATGGCCGTCCACAGCATGATGCCGTCCACGGACGGGTGCGCGAACCCTTCGCGGAGCACCTCCTCCAGGTAGGCGGCCTGCGTCCTCTGATCGAAGGCGGCGCTGATGTCGATCTCGGTGAGCCAGACGGGCAGCCGGAGCGTGCCCAGCTTGTCGAGCACGGCGCGCACGTAGGGGATGTTGGGCTTGCCGAAGTGGCCCTCCAGCCCGATGCCCTCGAAGGTGACCCCGGCGTCGGCGAGCTGGCGGAGCCTGGAGACGTAGGAGTCGGCGCTGGAGCTGAGGTCGTCGCACGCCTCCACCACGTTGAAGTCGTTGAGGAAGAGCGTGGCCAGCGGGTCGGCGCGCTTGGCCGTGCTGAAGAAGTCGGCCGTGGCGTTGCCGCCCAGCCGGTTCTCGTAGAAGTCGAAGTGCAGCATCTCGTTGCTCACGTCCCAGTGCACGAAGTCGCCCTTGTACCGGGACAGCAGGCTCTCGATGCGCCCGGCCACCGCCGCCTTGAGCTGCGACCCCGTCAGGTTCTTCACCCACGCCGGGGTGTACTTGGGGTCCTCCCAGAAGATGTTGTGCCCGCGCGCCATCACGTCGTTGGACTGCACGAACTGCAGCAGCTGGTCCGCCGCCGCGTAGTCCTCCTTCCCCGGGGACGGCTCCGTCGCGTACCACTTGAGCTCGTTCTCGAACACCGCCGCGTTGAACCGCGCGTTGAACCACTCCTGGTACGGCTTGTTCCCGATGATGCTCTTGCTGATGGCGGAACCGAAGGGGAAATCTCGGGTTATCTGATGCACGGCGACGTTCGCCCCGACCACGCGGCTACCGTTGCCGTCTGAGACATGGACGTTCACGAAGCGCTTCCGAATCTGGCAGTGGCAGGCATACCGTCGTCAGCAGTCAGCTCCATATTAAATTTGCTTGCTGCTACGTCTGATATATATGATAGCAAATAATGTATAATTATTTTGGTTTTACCAGTTGGATACGGTCCTCCCTGTGCTGATTCCACTGATCAGGTGAGAAGGGTTGCAAGGAGGCGCTTCTGATTGAGATTGTCGAAGCATTTGGGCTTGCAGTCTGTGGCAGTTAATTAAAACACGCATGAGAACAAAATTGCTGAATTAGTCACCTCTATAAATTCAAAAATATAGTTGTAAACTTATAATATCTAATATTCACTCTGTTTCAAATTATAAGACTTTTCGGTTTTTTTTTCTAGATACATAGCTTTTATAGACACCTAAATCTATGTTATGTTTAGATAAAAAGTAAAATAAAAATATAAAAATTTAAAAATACCAAAATATGTTATAATTTAGGGAGGAGAAAGGAAGTATGAGACTGCAAAAGTGCATTCCAGGACTTATTATCTTCTAAAACTTATCGATGACGAAAGTTTTAGAACTCTAACTAAATTTTGATCAGAACGTCAAGTATTTCTTACCAAAAGCAAAAGTATATATTGTTCAACGTCAGAACTCACCTGGAAATAGAGGACCGAGGTTTGAGACGGCGAGTTGAGAATAAAACCTCCTTTGAGAAAAGACCAGCAGTCGTTTCGCACGATAACTGTGCCAACGCATTGTGATGCGGCGTTTTCTAGGGTCAGGATCTTTGCCTTCACATGTGCGCCCTCTGGTCCATCGATTTTCACCCAACCTGGATATAACAGTGCAGCATCAAGCACTCACCATATTGCAAGTTTGCAACAATAAAGCAATGAACCTGCTGCTATATCATTACTAGTATCTGGTTATAACTTTTTTATATAAATACAAAAAAAAGTCAGTATTAGTTTTTTTTTTTAGTAAAGTGCATGGCTGCTCTTTGAAATTGTGCGGATAGGGACTCACAAATTGCGTCATTTCAGTCCTAAATCTCTGTTTGGAATTTAGCGGTTATCAAGCTAATCGATCTCCCACACCCTGTCGTGCACGGCACACACACGTCCCACACGGAACGAATCGATGGTCTCTTCGGTTCCGGTGGCGAGGCCCCCACACCCCCTGGCACGGGCGCCCGTTTTTGCCCATGTTCCGCGTGCGAATCTCGCATGCCCACCGGTGGTGGCCCGGAAAGTTGGTTGGAACCACTGGGCGGGCCGACGGAACATGCGCGCGCGGTGCCTCTGTTTCTACCGCTTGGCTCCTACTGTAGCTCCTGCCCGTGACGAGACGCTAGACGCTGGCTGCTGCCTCAGGTCGGTTTCGGCCGCTTTCCCCGTTACTGTTCCGACTAATTTATTGTAAAAGAAAAATACTATTTTAACTAAAAAAAAAACTGAAAAATACAGATTCCTCAGCGTTGCTTTCCTGTATCTGAACGATCGATGTGCTTCTACTTCTACGGACTCATTCGTTTCATTTCTTCTTCTGATTAGGACGTTTCTTATTCTTATTTCGGGTCGTACGCTGCTACTAGAGGCAGGGCGACACAGTGGTGCAGTTGTGCTTGGAATGTACCAGTGGTAGTGGGTAATAAAGAGTGAAAACAATGGAGAGTAAAACTTGATCTACGAGCGAGCTCGTGTAGAGTTTACGGTACGTCCAAGGCTGTAGTTGGAAGTAATACTTGCAAACTAAGCTTATCCCGTCCGTTCTCTCTCACTCCCTTTTCTAAACAAGTTTGCAGGCTAAAGAAAAGGAAAAATGCCATGACAACTTCTCATGCCACGCCTTTCTTTACTGCAGGTAATTGACTGGAAATTACACGGTACTACTCTTTAATACAACTGAAAGCAAGTGTTGTACAACTATATATAAATAAATAAATAAACTCTATGTGTTTCCCTCCCTTGGAAAGGAAATAAAAATCATGTGGCATTGTACTGATTAATTAAATTGCTCAGAAAATTTGTTACTATCGTCGTCACCATGGCCGAACAAGTAACAATCCACTGTCAAAGTCGAACTACAGTACTGCTAAGAGATATGCACATGAGCATGCAGCGGTGAAGAACTTACAAGAGAAGCTGTATGCAGTTGCCGCCGACATGTTGTAGAGCACAAATGCCGGGGAGTAGTTCCCTTCGTCCTCTGTTCTGAAGTCTGTTATTTTGCTCGCCCAGCGCAGGACGCCACCATTGTACAGAGCAGGCTCCGGGTGAGGTTTGCACTGAAAACAAAGACAAAAGTTCAGCAGCAGCAGCAGCAACAGAGAAAGAGAGAGAGAGAGAGAGAGAGAGAGAGACGATGCATTTGCATACCTCAGTGCAAGCTCTATAATCATATCGCACTCCATCTGCAAGCACGCAATATAAATATCAATCCATCAAACTAGGGCCCAAAGTAAGTTCGATGCATGCTAAGTCTTTTCCCGGAGGACTCACCAGAAGAAGCTCGTCGAGCCATGGATGCAGCCATGAGGAGAAGCAAGGCCAGGATGAGCACCTGCCGACGAGCAGGACCAACAAGTGCCGTCGCTGCTGCAGCCTCCATGAGTCTGCAGATCCTAAGGGTCAGCGACAACGCAAGAGCCAGCGAGCTGTCGAACAGGTCATGTTCACTTCTTTTATAATCCATACTTTTTAGTTTTTTTTTTTCAGTCGAAACAATATTTTGGTTTATTTTTTAGTGACTTCTCTTATAATTCATATTTTTAATCTTATTTTTTTAGCCGAAACAGTATTTCAACTTGCTTTTTAGCGAAGCTAACGGGCCAGAAGCGTACAGTACGTGCGTGCGTGCTCCTGCGGTCCTGCCGCCCGTGATTCCTCCTCCTTAGCTCTCTCTGTCCTTTGTGTGTGGTATGCACAGCACTACAGCAGATATATATATATACACACACACTCTAGCTAGCTGCTTGTAGTTGCCTAAAGCCTTGAGCACTATAATGTTTCCGAGGGTTGAAAAAAATCACTGAATTATTTGCATGGCTGTGTTATGTCTATTATGTTAGTAGCTCCAAAATGTGTCACTTAATTACTTGGTATCTCTAACAGTATCAGATTACTAGTACAGCTAGTTTAGTGGTATAGCCATGGGCTAAGGATGAAAACGGTACGGAAATATTCCGAACCAACCGCTTTCGTTTTCTATATTATGATACCGTTTCCGAATTTCGTCAAATATAAAAATTTGTCATTTTCATTTGGTTTCACAACCATTTTTCGTACTCTTTAATTGCTAAAATGTAGAAATATCTTGAACCGATCGCTTCCGTTTTCTATATTGTAATACCGTTTCCGACCGTTTTCATCCTTAGCCATGACAAGCATGCATGTTGGACTTTGCATCGTTTTTGGCCGTTTGTAGACGTGGAGGCCGTTGCCTTGCTCCAAGGCAGCAGGCTACCTAAGCTCCTGTCTGGATAGACCGCAATACCCACAAAAGGTTGGTGGGAGTAAAAGAAAAGGCCCCGCAATGAGATGTGGGTGTGAGGGAGCCTGTGTGAGGCCATGTACGTTTTGGGAGTAAAATAAAAAGGTCCAGCGGAGGAGTGACTGAGCAGCAGCAGGGGCGAAGCTAAACCAAATTAAAGAGCGGTGCATTTGCCTCGTATACTTATACCAGGGAGGATACAAATATGGTGAGATTTAAGCCAAAACTACTAATTTTTCAAATTTTGGGTGGTGCATTTGCACCACCTATAAAATAGTGTACCTTCGCCACTGAGCCACTGAGCAGCAGGGGATATGGTAAGTGCGTGATTACCCAACTTTCGGTTTCACGTACTTGCTCGTGTCCACGAAATCCGCGAGTTGAAGATAGAGGCGTGTGGGTGCTGTGGTCAGCAGTTATTATCCTGTTCGTTTGGCTGATAAGTCATGGTTGAAAGTAGTGTACTGATTTGTTGTGAGAGAAAAATATTATTCATTGACTGAAAAAGTACGGTTTATAAACTAAGCGAACAGGACGGATATTATACTACTTTTGAAGAGAAACAAGGTTGACACCTCCACAACACTGTATATTCTAATCTGGAAGATTGATTATATGATTATTATTCCAGCAAGGGATGCTAGCTGCTATATGTTACTCTTACCATCGCACCACATGCAGGCATCGTACCTACCTACCATCGAGAATTCGAGATCCTAGCTGTAGCATTATCGAGTCCACTGGCCAACAAGCACCCTTCACTTGGTCTCCATGAACTAATCGCATATATGTGCATTGGTAGTTTTGTACATCACGAGATGACGAGAGAGAGAGGAAAGAGGATTGGTGCGGCAGGGTCTGGCACGGGATCTGTTCGCTGTGCTGTGAGAAGCGTGGAGTTCTTTTCTGGAGCCGGTGTCCTGGTCGTACACGAGTACCGGGGGGGGGGGGCGAGGGGGAGTCGATCGATTGACTAATCCAAGTAGCAGGAACACGAACACTAATAGCATGCATGGAACTCGATCAATTGCCTGTTGTTTTGTGTTTGCGTTAACCTCCGATCACCGCAGCGTTTCCTGCTTGTACTTTGTTCTTCACCATGCTTAATGAAAAACGTGCCACGTGGCACGGTGAACTCAATCAGAGTCATTGGACTCATTGCTTTGTTTAGTTCCACAACATATAAGGCAAAATAACCCTCACTATTAGGCCAGTGATTTGTAATGAATTAGATCGAAGGTTTCGGTATATTATAAGCTCTGGGAGACCTGGCCTGATATGACGGCTACTGATGGGTATAACCAGCGGCGAAGCTACGTCATGGGTTGTGGGTGCGGCTGCACCCATAGAAAAACGAAAATCCAATACCATATTCAAAATTTTACCATGTTTGCAACACAAATTCAAGTATCTATCTAACATGCGCACCACCATTTAATTCGCTCTAGCTTCGCCACTGGGTATAACGAGCTGGCCGGATGAGCCGTGCATTCTAATACTAGTTTTTTTATGAATTTGTTAGTAAATGTCCAAATATATTTTGAAAGTATTTCTAATAGCAAACATAACTATGCCAATTTGGGTGACTAATCGAAATAGTATTGTATATATCTTGATATACTTTCGTACGAAGGGACTACTGACCACTTACATGTCACGTTTAATTATTGTCAAAGAATATTTTGAATTGTTAAGTATGGACTGGAGAAACGTTGACTCTATATAACATGCTATAATTGTTTTCCTTCATTGAACCTTGTTTATATGGCTATGCTGATGTTTTGTATCATTGTGTTATATTTAAGACTACCATTTCACTAGGAGCATTAAATAATTAAATGCATAGAAACAACTCTTACAGTGTATGGTTAGAACACTCCCATAGGCTACTCAACAAAATTGGTTCCATAGTCTTATTCAGTCCAACATTTATTTTTATTAAGATATAGTAGCACTATCTCTTTCAACTTTGTGCCATGTGAACAGTAACAAATGCGCAAGTGAGCTACATATCATCACATTTACATTAAAATAAAAAAGGATAAATCCCTAAAAAACACACTCCAACACCCCCAACAGTACTCATTACCTAACACTCATTTAAGAGTAAATGTCACTAATGGTCCTTCAATTAACTTGTTCTTAGTTCTCATGCCGGTCTTAATACTTACAAATTGCATACTCTAACTCCTTAAACTTGTCTCGAGTTCTCATCACGGTCCCACTACTTACGAATTGCACACCCAGCTCTCTAAACCTATATTATTGCACCATCCATGACTAAACTGCACACTCGGCTCCCTAAACTTGTTCTAGGTTCTCATCACGGTCCCAATACTTAAATTGCACACCCGACTCTCTAAATCTATATTATTGCACCATCCATGACCAAACACCCCCTCACCGCATGGCCACACATCATTGTCCTCGCCACATGCCGCCGCACGAGCACGTCTCACCCATGCGGCTGCTCCGCACTACACCTCGCTCATCCCGCCTGCTTGTGCTACATCGCCAATGAAGTGTCATACCCACGCCACGCCACAACGACGCACCACCATGTTGTTCCCTTGCTAAGGTGCCTAGCCTCCACACCCCCATGGTGGTGTAGCGTGCACATATAGAAGGATGAGCTCAATCTTTGCGGTGAGAGGCAAGGAAGGCCGAGAGGGTGGGGAGCGGGTGTGAGGATATGGCAAGCATAAGATCCTACACTGCGAAGAAGAGAAAGGAGACAAGGAGTACGGTGATACCAATGTCGAGTCGAGCAAGAGTGCGGAGGGCCATGGCGGTTGGAGCCCACCTGGCCACTCATCTTTGAGAAAGCTAGGTTACATAGCGTGGCGGTGCGGGTGAGCATGGCAGGGACCTGACAATGCGGTGTGGGTGTGGCACCTCACCAATGGCGCAACACAAGTAGGCACGGGGCGGTAGGACAAGTGGGGTGCAATGCGGCATGGCCACGTAGGTGACGCGGACAAGTGTCGTGCGACGGGTGAGAGGGAGAGGTAGGCACGGGGCGGTAGGACAAGTGGGGTGCAGTATGACATGATACGTGGGAGAGGAGCGGACAGAATGGTACACTATTACAAGTTTAGGGAGCTCATATACAATTTGCTATTACCAAGATATGATGAGTACTCTTTTGCTATTACCAAGATATGATGAGAAATCAGAACAAGTTCAGGGAGCCGATTATGCAATTTACATGTACTAGAACTAGAGTGAGCACTCATGCAATTTACAATCCGAGATAAGAAATCGAAACAAGTTCAAGAACCAGCAGAAAATTTACTACTCATTTAATATACATGATGCAATGCACCGCGAGTTACATCCTTATGTCATCTGTTAAGAAGTTTCCACATGATCTAAATGTTTAAAGCAAACTATATATGTTTTGTTCATTAAACCTACAATTATCTATACGAAGATTCACGTGAAAGAAAAGAACCAGAGAATAGGGCACATCATAGTTCATCTTGTGCTTGAGATTTCTTCACAGCAAGACCATTTTCCACCCATGCGGTGTAACCGCCTTCTATGTTCTTCACATTTCTAAATCCCTGTTTTCATAAGCATTCACATGTTTCAGATAAAAAAGGAGACATAAAAAATAATTAAGATGTTTTCTTGATTTTTAAGACAACACTAAGGAAAGCGTAAAGCCCAATTTAGCAAACACCTTCATACTCGAATACCGGACAACATACCCTCCCTTGACAAATTACCCCACCCCCTCCACAAAATAGTTCAAAGTGGTTTTGAGAAGGTGTTTAGACAGAAGTTCTTTTGTTCAGCCCCTAAATTTCTCTGCCGTAGAGTTTCAGGACTTGCAATTTGCAACAAATTAAACAGCACTGCCATATAGTGTTCAGCAAAATTTTGCTCTACCTGCCCTGATGTTTTATGCTTGAGGTCGATCTGACTCTGCCTATGTGTGTTATAAACTTACAATTTTGAATTATGTGAACATGGTTTCTCTAATAATTTGGAACAAGAAAGCCATCCTCATTATTGAATATCAATGCAGCTAAGATTGTACCCCAAAGAAGATTATTTTACCAGTATTGTATAACCAAAATTAGTCATGCAAGAAACATAGGATCATGGTAATTTTGTTTTCTGTTAAGGCCTAAGATTCCATAAGACAAATCAGATTGAATGAACAATATGCAATCGTGTAGTCCTATACTGTACAACGTACAATTATCCAATGACAACTGAAGCCTCAAGGGGAAGCAAGGGAAAAGGTCTTACAGCTGCCATGAGATCAGCGCATGCTAGTTCAGACCTTACTCCGCTTTTGCAGCCCTTGAAAGAAAAACAGGTGGATCAGCAGAAGAACAAGCAAGATAAAAAGATCATTGTGAGAATAAACGCACACATGCCATGGTGTATAAATACAATTAATCTGATGAGCTGTGGGTAGAGATCATCAGTAATACCACAACGATGTTGTCCTCTTTGTCGAAATCTGCTGCGACCTGTGCAATGAACTGGGTGTTCTTCTCCGTTCCTGCTGAAACCATACAAGGTCACATCCAGTAGAGTACAGTTCAAGCTAAAGATCTCACAGCTAAAGGTTCAAACAGCTAGTGTTTTCTTAGGGACAAGAAAGTCTTGTGATGTAAGATCTGTATTTTAATTTGTTTGTTTTGGAGACTTGCCTTGTGAAGTGAAGAAAAGATAGGGCACGTTAAGGGAATCCTCCACATGGCCATTCCTGAATTCCTCCTCCGTTCTGTTAATATAATTTGTGTTCAGATTAATCAAATCAAAAGCTATATCCTATAGAGATCCATGTAATATGCAAGAACATGATTATAAATCGGCTCTGGGCAAGTTTTTTTTTATTCTTCAAAAAAAGTTCATTTTTCTTTTGGAAAAAGTGAACATTTTTTTGTGACAAAAGGCTCACTGCAAGGACGGGTAACCAGTCTGCAGAAAAGAGTATTGATAGCTCTCTGACAGAAAACGGCTATTCAGAACATTCCTTGAGCAAACTATTTCCAGGATAATCAATTTGGGAAATTGATTGTAATGGAAGCCAAATATTGGTCGACTGTAGGAAAAGCTAGTCGCTGGAGAGTGACAGAATTGACATGGTAACCATGGTCTGAAGGTCGAATAACAATCAAACGAAGGTTAGAAACATAAATTCTGTTTCATTTGGTGCCTCATGACTAATAGTAAGTTTATGTGAGGCACCGGATTCGGGAGTAGCACGGCAAGAAGGCAGCTAGTTACTATACTAGTGACTGAATGCTGAGAGAAAGCACTCAAACAAAGCTTGAGCAAGCAGAGAAGAACCAGTCACCTTACCAGGCACGAGTTATAAAAAAAACAACAAAAAAAAGTTCACCTGACGTCCAGGTAGCGGTGACCGCCGGAGCGGATGAGATCACTGGCCGCCGCCACGCCCACGGCCACCACCGGCGCGGGCGACGGCTTCTCCGAGCCGCGCGCCACCAGCAGCAGCACGGACAAGGTGCAGATCGTAAGCAGGATGGCCGGCCTCATGGTCATCCCTCTTTTTTTTTGACCAAGCCTCATGGTCATCCTGGCTGGACGAGAAGAAGAAGGGGGCCAAGGCCAAGGGAAGAGAGAAACAGGGGCGGTAACGGTAAGATGCGACGACGAGAGTTTGTGCAAGGCGCAGAGCAGAGGTCGGGAGTTGTACTGGCATGAGCATGGCCATCCATCATCTTAAAATAGCAAAGTGCGACTGTACTGCCGGTAGAATTGTGAATTAGCACACAGTTCAGGTTTGCTTCTGTGGGTGGGCGGAGTCCGATCCCGACAGCTCCGCGGTTTCGTTTCAGCGCACCAGGCCGCCGAGGGTCCACTTTCCTGTGGGCTGGTCGGCCTCTGCTGCACAGCCAAGCGCGTTGATGGCCTGTTGGCCTCGTCCGTCTGCACGTCCTCTTGCGTTATTACAAATGGAAAAGGGCACTCTCCGTGAAGTTGCGACCTTGAAAACTAGTACTAATATACTGTACATTAATTGCTCCAAGTAATTCTCAACTGTATTAAACAGTCCAACGGCAGGTTTCAGAAACCAAGCACAGGACAATCGTAACCTTTTTGGCTCCGAAATTGGAATGCTACACTCGTAATTTCGCATCAAGGATTCAGGGGAAAAAAAACAGAACAAGATCACCAACGCAGATGAAGCAACTCGATTCCACAATCAATAGTACTGTAGCAAACAGCTGCTGCAGCCGTGGAAGAAGCTGCAGCGAACAAAGTCTTTCGTTCTATGTGTACTAAGTTATAACATATAACTTATAACATATAATTTATGTGAAAAATTTGAAAACTCAAGAGTTATGAAACACAATTTATAAAAAAAAGTTATTAAAAACAAAGGAATATATTAACTTATAATTTATGGCAAAACTTGCAAACATAAAAGTTATTAGTAACACACAAAGGAACGAATTAACTTATAATTTGTAGCAAAACTTACATAAGTTTCGAAGAATTAGGGCCTGTTTGGAACTACTCCGCTCCACCTTTTTCAGCTCTGCTCCACCAACTCCACCACAGAGCAGCTCTACTGTGGAGTTTCTGGAGCAAGTGGACCTGTTTGGTACGCAGTTTAGCTCCAGCTCTGGAAATATGAGGTTTCTATAGGAAAGGTCTACTATGCCCCTGATCGATGTTTGGTGTATGTTCTGTTGTATGCAGAGCATGTGTAATTGAATATTTTTTTTACCAATTCAAATATGGTGTAAATATTATAATCTCATTTAATTTATTGGAGAAAAGTAAAAAACAAATATTTCGGCCAAATAATTCCATACTTTTGTCACGTAAATTTCATAGCGCTTGATGAATAATTGACAAAGTTCATATTTCGGATACAAATAATTGTCCATACATAAATAGTAACTGTAATTAAAAACTGAATACTAATTCAGATTAAAAAATGAAATTAAAACTGAAAATGCTAACTGAAATTTAAAACTAAAATTACATACTGAAATTTGCTACCGAAATTAAAAACTGAAATCATTCAGAAACTGATTGAGCACTAATGAAATGCAAATTATGAGACTCTGTGTAGCCACTATCATTTTTCTGAAGTACACTTTTACCATGTGAAGTCCACTGTGTAATTATTTTTGCCAGCAATTTCTAAAGCTTGGATTCGGTACTCTTATCGGCACCTTCTTCAGTACAAATCATGTGATCCAGCTACAAGACTTGTGGGTGAACCTGTTCAATCAGCGTTGCCACATCAGGCTAGCCGAGAAAGGCCTGCTGTGCGAGTCAGTAGAGCTAGACCTCTGCAAATCTCCTCCTCTGCTCAAACCCCATCCACAAGAAGATCCAGGTCCTTCACGGCGGATGCCCCGTCTGAGATGCCGGATGCAGTTGGGCTAGCGCCGTGGGGGGTGCGGCCATACAGGGTAGCGCCTGGGTGGGTAGTAGTCGAGCGAGGTGGGGGTGGCGCTGACGAGTTCCAGGGTGGTTGCGCCTCCGGGTGGCCGTCTGCCTCCGCCTCCGGGGGGCCGTCCGTATCCACCCACGACACCGCCACCACCCAGGCCACCATGGCGATGTGGAGGCCGCCGCAGCTGGGGGCCGCCATGCGCGCAGGTCAGGCCGAGCGCCGGGCCAGCATCCAGCCGCCACCGCGGGGCCGCAGGGGCGGGGAACGGGGGTCACGCGGTGGGCGGCGCAGCCACGGAGGCAGGAGGAGCTCGGACCAGAGCGGACGGGCGGGGAGCGCGGGCCCGGTGACCTCCGACGAGCTCCAGCAGGAGGGGCACCGTTTGCCGGTTGCGTTCCGCCAGCAACGCCGGATTCGTTGGCCCGTATGCGCTGCCGGAACGAAAGTGGAAAGAAGTAGTTGAGGGCGACGGGAGGAAATAGAACGAAACGGTATCTGCGTAACGAGCGGCAATTACGGGTAATTACCTCCAACTTCACGAGAACATTCGAAACGCTGGTTTGTGGAGTACCATCTGAAGAGCTCCGCGAAAAACATGGAGTTGGACCAAAACTCCATCTTTTTTTGGGAGCAGAGTTTGTGGAGTTAGATCCGTTTGGCAGAAAAGTTTGGGAGCAGAGCTACAAAAGGTGGAGTGGAGCGGTCCCAAACATGCCCTTAATAACGAGTCACTCTGTCCTCAAATACTACAGTGTAGGACTGGATAATTTATTTTCTTACATGTGGCTGATATGTGAGACAACATTAAAGAACATACTATCAGTGATCAGGTCTTGCATGATACTATGCTTCCCTAAAGTAAGCTGGCATCCTCGTTGAACTGAATTTACCGAGAGCTCCAATCCATGGTACTTTAGCTCACTCACCAGAACCTGTCAGGCTGCCAGTCAAAGGGAGCCAAGAATTCCATTTGTGTTTTCGCGGTGGCTCCTGACTACTTTGGTGAGCCTAGGCACTTACCCACGCATATGGTGCACTGGTGTGTGGGTAAATGAAATGCAAACTTGTAAAGCAGCCTATCCTTCAAAGTATTAGCTAGTCCTTCACCTCAATAAAAATAAACTGTAACTTAGTTAATACACTGGCTGGATTGACCCAGTTGAGCCAGAGGGTCCAGTTTTTGGTTGGATCTCCGGGCTAGGATGGGTCTAGTAAGTAGTAACTAGGGTTGCACTTGAACATTGCATACCACTGCATTCCTCAATAGTTGGATAGTTTGGTGCTAACATGGACAGAATACTAGAGATAAGCACAAAGGTTAGCTGTACGATGACCGCAGGAAGATTGGACCCTCGTCTAAAGTAACCTTATACAATTTCATATACTATATTTTCATTGTATATGTTATCTAAAATTTCCTCAAAACCAAAAGAAATTGTTAAAAAACAATAAGAAAGAGATGATGAGTTCTAATTTTAGAGTTTGTTAACAATGAACTTGTGTTGTCACCAATGAGAAAATATTTTTTTATTGACATATTGAACATTAGATTGACTAATAAATGACCTACTTTTGTGTTTACCACGATATAGATAGGGCCTCTTTCTTTTATCATTCTTCATTCTTTAATCAACCTAGGGCCTCTTTCTTTTATCATTCTTCATTCTTTAATCAACCTAGGGCCTCCGCTATGTCAGGACAGGTTAGTTGCAAAAGATTTGCTAGGCCGTTTTGCTATTGGCAGCTATTTGGGTAGTACTTCTCCAAAGTAGTATTTGTGCAACAATATAGAGGTAACTTTTACAATTTCATACATAAGGATACAAGAAGTTATCAAGGATAACTTGTAGCTCACCTATGCAGCATAAGCCTCCTTTGCTAGGGAACGGAGGAACCTCATAAGTTGTTTTGTTGCTCCAGAAAGCTTCACATTAGAATCTTCCCCATCTTTATTTTGTGTGCTTTCTTGGACCATGTGAGCTCTCTTCACAAGCTTCCGCAGTTCCTATTGACAAAATGTTAAGAAACTGAAGAACCTCAAACATTGAGCCAGAACAAATGCACTTGACTTAGTTGTTTTGGTAAGTTTAGGTGTGCAAGAGCATCCCAAATGCCTCAATAGGTATTCATGAGAAAGTTTAGTATTAGATTTCGATGTAAACACCAGTCTTACATGTTGGATGTGTTAAGCTTCAGCATTAGAATTGTTCATCTTTGACATACTCAAAGCACAGCCAATAAGGCTCAAGAAGAAAAGAACACAAGTTTATGGTCTCACTTACCACACCACCAAGAAATATACAACCAACAGGGTTACATGTAGTTTAATTAATACTACATTGCAATGCAAACACTATTATTACTGGATTAATGCAGAACAATCTTAAAGATCACAATGCTACTAACCATGCTTCCCATATGGCCATATGGGATCATAGTAACCATGTTGCATAATCTGACGGGCTCAAGGGGGTGAACGAAAGGTTTATTGTTGCTTCGATTTAAGTTCTGCGATGTTACATCAGAATAAGCATCGTGCTTTTAAACATCCTAAAAACATAGCAATCGTCTAAAATCTAGTTTGAAATAACAACATTCATGTTTCAGTAATTTAGTTTCTTACAATTAGTATACTTAACCTGAACTAGGATATACACTTATTCCTTAACTGTTTCCATAGACTTAACATCAGTTTTGCTCTGAGGTTGTTACAGTCACAATTCATAGTTACACTTGCTACATTGAATCAAGCATGACTCTATTACAAATGATAACACACAATGCCAATAATGTCAGTGATATGCACCAAAATAATAGATATTCAAACTTTGGTTAAATAACGACAAAAGACTTTACAAGGCTCAAAATTTAGATTGCTGATCAAGGTTTGAAATTTGTGGCATGGGTAAGAAATATAGAATGCATTTACTTATTAGGCTATTTGACAATAGCCAATAAGGACGAAACAACCACTCAGGCAATTAAACATGCTTAACATGGATTATTATTGTGGACCCTTATTGGGAAAAACAGTACCAAATGAGGCTTCATGGTTCCAGGTTAGCTTTCATTATCAGAAAATATATTACCAAGTATGAGTCCTTTAGAGATCGAGTACTTCATTGTTTAGATCCTTAGTTAAGATATTTGTGTAGGTTAAGATGAGCCTTCCCTTTAAAGCAACATGCATTATACTTCCATAAAGCAATTAAGAAATAATTAAGTCTCCCATCCCAGTAGTCTACCCCTCTCTAGAAACATTACCGGAAGGTCCCGGATTCGAGTCGCGGTCTCCTCGCATTGCACAGGCGAGGGTAAGGCTTGCCACTGACACCCTTCCCTAGACCCCGCACAGAGCGGGAGCTCTCTGCATTGGGTACCTATTTTCTTTGTTTCAGCAATAGCTTTTTGTTTGGATAAAGGTGAATTTCAGCTATCAATTTTCCATACGTTTTGCATGAAAGGATGAACAGACCAATATAAGTGAGGGCCTGAAGACCTGAACAAAATCCATGCAAGAAATGTAAAACAGGTAAGGACTCCTTAGACTCCTGCTCTTTGAGATCGAAAGAAACTACGTAATTACTGATTTCCAGAGTGTACTCAATATTTTCTCATTTTTTAACTGAATCTGCCTGTATACTTTATCTCTCTACTTTAACAAGACAACAACAATAATTTTACCATTTCATTCAAGGGAAAATGATCAAAGGTCTGTTTCTTAAACTGCGTTTGCACAAAAAAGGTTGGATTCTAGCTTGTTAAACTAATTTCAGTTAAGTATTTTGGACAAACCATACTAGACTGCCAGCAAAGAGTCGGTCAAAGGATGGAGATGAGAGCAAGTTACATACCTTACTTAGTGATGAAGGTACATTGTTGGTGGAAGAGGATGAAGTGGAGGACCTACTTGATGAAGAAGAGGTAGCTTTTTTGGTTAACATAACTAGAATGATGAAGACCTAGCAAACACTGAACTAACCTTTCAGTATTTCAATAGGACAATCAAGAGTATATGAAAATTGCATATAGATGGTTTGGTGGCCTCCTATGCAAAGACATCTCAGTTACTAATGAAGTTTACTCTGTCCATGGTGTTGAATTTGATCGTCGGGTATTGTTGTGCATTGCGCAGAAGTCTTCCTGGTTAAAATTGATATAACATAAAATGAAAAGTACATGACAAATATAGCTCAACAATTCTTTACTGGGTCTCTATTTCTGAAAACCTACTTCTTTACTACTTTTGCATCCATGTATCAACACATATTATGTAAATTATGTTATATAATTATAAATACCAAAACCATATTGCCATTGAAGAGCTTAAAAACACTTATAAATCAATCTCTAAATGTCATGGATCAACAAATTACATTACTGAACCAAGCACCCTGTAAGAAGAACACAATAATTCGGCATAAGAAAATGCAGGTAGGACATGATCAGAGAAACAGATGGACCGATGTAATTGAACTGTCTCCTCCTTCCTTCCCGCACATCAGGCCCAAATTTCTGAGAACCAAGAATTACATGTGAACGTCCCCAATCCGGTGGTCCACCACAATCTCGTCGAGGAAACGAATGGATGAACGAACCTTCACGAGCATGAGCGTGTCGAACACCTCGCGCTCCAGCGACGCGGCACTGAGGATGCACTTGATCTGAGGCGGGGAGAACTTGGCGAGGTCCATTCCCCACTTCACGGTGCGGCGGGCCTCCCGCTTCAGTTCGTTGCGGCTCTTCTTGAAGGAGACGGCGGCGCCGTCGCCCGGCGTCTGGATCGTCGGTGTCCTCGGCATCGGAGGGCAAGGGGCCTGTGGGTCGGAGGGTGCGCGAGTGACGATAGGAGGCGGGCCTCCTTGAGGAAGAGGAGCGGATGACGTAGTGGCAAGGCGGCGGCCGCGGCCGCATGCGCCATGTCGAAGGTTGCAGGGTTACAATTGCTCGACGACTGGCGTTGTAGTGCTACATCCAACGGATAGGGTTTAACGCTCTACTGATTCGGAAACGCTGAAACAAACTTGGAACGGGCTTCTCTGACGAGGAATCACGTCTGAGGGCACTGTGCACGCCACTTGGCACAGTGCACCGACGAAGATGATTTCTTAATTTTTTTATATATTTTCCTTTATTCAACTTCAAAGTTTCTTTAAAACCGACACAATAGCTATTTTTATTGGATTTATTTAATTGGACTTGACTTAGCTTTAAATCAAATAAATTCTAAGGTCAATCATAAATGCTAGTACAAGAAAAGATTAATAATCTCCCACAACTAAAAAAACAAAAGGAAGATAACTGAATGGTGCGACAATTTCCTTCGCCTCACCTACGCTTCACCCCGTGCGGAAAAAAAAATGCGTCGCCCACACTCCCCCGGCCCTGCGATCCCACATTCCCTCCCCTTCCTCTGATTTCCCTTTCAAAAAAATAGATCTTCAATCACCAGAATTTTAGGACATGCAAAATAAAACAGCACAACATGCAATCTCGCTTCGCTCTGCTCGTCACAACAATACACAATGTCACCGCCAAGCGCCCCCCCTCCCTCGGCTCACGCAATCAATCAACGCAGCTTAGAGCAAAAGGAAATCACCGATCAAAAAGATTCAACCAATTCTGTTTAACTAATGCAAAATAATTTCCACAATCCACCGGCGACGCACGGAAAAAAAAGGAAAGAGATTACGGCAGGGAAGATGAAATGGGAAAGTATTGGAAAATAAGGGAAGAGAATCCGTGAGGGAAGAGAAAAGGAAATTGAAAATTACGAGAAACCTGATTGCCCACCACGCGCATGCGATAAACTTCGTTTCCACCCCACATCCTGCCAAGCCTCCAGGGATCGCCACTCACCAGGCCAAATACAGGAAGGCATTGCCGTAGGGAGGAGAGATGATCACCATCGGGACAATGAACATCCTCAACTCCTTCACGCCTTGCTACCTCACCACTGGCCCCTTCTCACCGTCCGCCGTGAACTACAACGCCGGTGCAAGGCAGCCATGTTGAACGTGGTCATGTCGCTGGCGGTGATTGTAACGCTGCTGCTCCTTACCCCGCTGTTCACTACACCCCGCTGGTGGTGCTGTCGGCGATCATCATCTCCGCTATGCTGCGGCAGATCGACTACCATGTCGTGCTCCACCCGTGGCAGGTCGACAAGGTGGACTTCTGCTTCTGCATCGGCGCCTACCTGGGTGTCGTCTTTGGCAGCGTCAAGATCGGGCTGGTCGTCGCCGTCTCCATCTCCGCCCTCCGCGCCTTGCTGTTCATCACACGGCCCCGGACAACGGTGCTCAGCTCAGCAACATCCCAAATCCATGGTCTACCGGAGGATGGACCAGTATGCCGCCACGCAGACGGTGCCCGGCGTGCTCGTGCTGCGCATAGGCACACCCATCTACTTCGCCAACACCAGCTACGTGCGAGAGAGGTAAGCAATGCAGGCAGGTTGATCAACGGATTTGAATGAACTCGATGGAGGGATGACGAGAACGATCTAGGTCCTACCTATCGGTGTTTGGTTTGATCAGGATCTCGCAGTGGAACGACGAGGAGGAGGAGCGCACCAAGGGTAAGGGCGAGATTGGCGTGCAGTACGTTGTCCTCGACATGGGTGGTGAGTAATCAGTTGCTTGATTTTCTCTCAACTCTGAAACTTGATCGATCTGCATCGAAACTTGATTTGTATTTTCTTCATGCTTTGCAGTGATCGATGCTTATCGACACAAGCAAGACAAGCATGCTAGCCAACTCGGGAGAGTCCATGGACCGGAGGGGAATGCGGTAAAGAGCGAACCAATCACACACTCCCATCCATCCAGTTGATTTAGTCCTTTATTTGTTGTCAACTCCAAAGACAGCTCGAATGTCATATCATGCCGCTTGCATGAACCCTGGCTGATTCCGTAGTGCTCTTCCGTGTGTCTTTCATTAAGATCGAGCTGGCGAACCCAGGCAGCGAGATCATGAAGAAGCTGGATAGAGATCATGAAGAAGCTGGATAGCTCCAAGGTGCTAGAGTAGACCGGCGACGAGTGGATCTTCCTGACGGTAGGTGAGGCGGTGGCATCATGCGCCTACGTGATGCACTCGCACAAGCCGAGCATGGTCAAGGACAGCGCCGCAGCCCTTGAGAGCATGGTCTGACTGATCGATACGAGAACCCTCAACCGTGTGTAGTAAGAATTATATAACTTGTCCGTATGGATGCATATATTAGTTGCATTTCAATGTTTTTTAAGATTATTCTTTTATCCTCTTGAAGAAAACATATTCAATTATAATTTTGCTTTGTTGAACTTTTGCTACAGGTTTATGTCTAAAAAAATGAGCAACAGTTTACTGGCTGCGATGCTTATCGACAATATCAAAAGGTAATTGATGCTTATCTTTTCCTGTGATTTTTGCTCTTATTCATATTGGTACTAGGTATTGGACTTACTGAAACTTAAACATCCCCTGTTTTTGCTTCTTTTGGAAGGCTCCTCTAAGGTACAAAGCAAGACCCTAACTGTAGTGTGTTCTCATTACTATGTGCAGCAAAAGTGGTGTCGTGGTGTTTCACGACACAAAACTTGGATGATGATACTACTATCAGGAGCACCGAGTGTAGCCTTGATTTAATGAGCAGCTCGCTAAAATATATGTCATCCATATGTATCCAGTGACCAATTAAATGGCTGGCTTGTTGTCTATGTAAACATATATGCGTTATCCATGTATTTTTGTTCACTCTTTTCTTGTCATATATATGTATATACTTTTTGTGGGAGATTTGGAATGAATAAATATTCAAAACAATGATATCTAGGGGAATGGATGAAAATATCGTGCAATGACATAATGGAATATGGTAAAATTTTACTTTTACTCAGAGGGTAAAATCATCATTTTTGTATGGAACCTAACAGTATAACACACACTCATGCATATATATAACAGTATAATCAATGTCCAAACATCAGGACTGTAATATCTTTTTGTAGTAACAGTATAACAGTATAACACGCTCTTACATATGTTATCGTGATTATTATGTTTTCCGTCTGCAGTAGCCCAGTTCTCGCCGGCACACGATCGAATCCGATGAGCGCACGTGCATTCGTGCCAAGGGGGAAGAGCGGAGTAGAAGAAGAGAGGACTAGATCGAGAGTACCACTGCGTGTTTGGTTGTGGTGGAAGTGGACTCTACTCCCATGTCCCCTCACCCTCACTGGTAGCTGCTGCTCAACAGCTGAAGTGCTTGCTGATGATAATGTACGTGTGATTGTGGGTTATGCGTAGTTTGGTCTTTTCTCATATTTTCCTAAAAATATTACCATTTTTTAAATGTTAATAAAAAATATTATGAAGCATCACACGGACATGCGCTTCGGTTAACACATTTATATAATAATTATTATAGTATATTATATTGCCTTATTTGTTGTTCTTCTATTTATATAAAATAAACAAGTTATACTAATTCTGACTCTCGATATCCTTCTCTTCCAGAATATGTGTGCTTGAACAAAAAGCCCAGAATACCATAAAAGATAAAGTGCGAAAGAAATAGCTACTGCGATTGGTGTATATGAGAATCTGAAATAAAACTTATCACAGTGCAGATACGTCAGCCACTTGCTCATGCTTTTATTATTTGTTTCCTATTATTATAATCACTACTGTGTTTATAGTTTCTTTTGCCATGGCTACATGTTTGAAAAAAATATTTTTTCGTCCTATTCTTCAATACTACTTCAGCAGTACTTTTCAGCAAACGAACAGGCCTCTCACAATAAATGAGCATAAGCATTAGCATAAGCCAAATTTAAGCGAAACGAACAGGTCTCTCACAATAAATGAGCATAAGCATTAGTATAAGCCAAATTTTCGACATATAGAAGAAGACGCTTATCATGATTGACTCTAAACCTGTTGAAAAGTGGTGTAAAGGCACACCCGTGCTGATATATGCCAAGTAAACTCTTGTATTTAACTTGCAGTACATGACCGCAGTGAATGTACATAGTTCTGGATGGAACAAGGATATCTTCAAATGGAAGTTCATCCGTGAAAAAAACATTGCAGATAACAAAGATGGGTAACATTAAATTTGTTCTTGCAGATAAGATTTCTTTTTGCCAATATAAAATATTATATTAGCCGCATCACGTAAAGATCTATACAGTAGAGTTTGTGAGGCTACGACGCCGCTCTCTTCGTGACTATGTTAATTACACGAACTTTGATTGTTGAATTAAATGTAACATCGGTATTTAATTTTACAGTATTATTATCTTATCGTGCGATCTATGTGTTTTTAGTAAAAAAAGTTTAGATGTCCCGTAGCAACGCACGGACACGAACCTATCTATATAAAAAATTAAGAGTAGATTGACTGAATTTAAATAGATAGGTATTGTGTGCATATATTGTGAGTTTAAAAAAGATGAAAGACGAGCAACACGCCCACACATGCGCTGCGACACAAATAGGCTTAGATGGCCAGAGCACGATATAAATAATGTGGCGTAATGAAGTTTTCGTATCTCTAAATTTAAAACGAGAAGGATGTAAGAGACAATGAAAGATGCGGAATAGATAAACAAAAGAAAGAAATGCCAATGATTTTTTTGTAAGTTTCAAATTTAAAGCCAAAAGATGTAAGAGACAAAGAGGAATGAGAAATGGACAGCTCAAGATACCTCATAATAGAGGAAAGAATTTTTCGCTAGAAACTTAGAGAGAAAAAACACTATCGAATAACTCGTTATCTCAATGTTGGGGACCAATACTAGGGTCCCCGAAGAAA